TTGTTGCTTCTGTCGTCGTTGTTGCTGTTATTGTTATTGTGATGTTTATTGGAGTGGATCATTATTATCGTCATTTTGTTGTTGTGTTGTTGTTCCGGTGAAGACCAATAATTTGTTTTGTTGTGTAGGTATTTTTTACGCCAATATTGACACACTTTTGATAACGTAGGAGGCGGACTTCAACCATGCCTGTCAGGATCCACACGGGCTGAGAGAGAGAGAGAGAGAGAGAGAGAGAGAGAGAGAGAGAGAGAGAGAGAGAGAGAGAGAGAGAGAGAGAGAGAGAGAGAGAGCGAACGAGAAGGGATTTGTGAAACTGGGCAAAGTTCTGTTATACTTCCATTGTACTTTTTCGAAGTTTATAAAAGATGTGTGTGTGTGTATGTGTGTGTGTGTGTGAATGTGAGTGTATGTGTCTGTGTTAGTTTTTGTGTGTGTATGTGTGTGTAGATGTGTCTGTGTGTGTGTGTGTGTGTTAATGTGTCTGTGTCTGTGAGTGTGTGTGTGCGTGTGTGTGTTTAGATGGGTGTATGTATGCATGTGTGTATGTATGTGTGTGTGTAAGTATGCGTGTATATGTGTGTGTGTGAGAGTGTGAGTATGTATGTGGGTGTGTGTGAATATGTTCAAGTGAGTGCACGCGTATGCGCGTCTTTGTGTGTCTGTCTGCCAGTTCATGACAGTGCGGCGCATCAGGGCGTGGCCTTCGTGATACACGAGGGCCATGAACAGTATGAACATGCTAGTGCGTGTGCATGTGCGTGCGTGTGCATGTGCGTGCGCGCAAGATCCAGCACGTACCTGCAAATGCTCTCGCAGCTCCCTCTCCCTGGGCCACAGAGAGGAAAACTTGACCTTGCTGTCTCCGTGTGTGTACGGGTGGAAGGAGAGCGTCGGGAGCCAGAAGATGATGCGCGGGTCATCCACCTTGTCCAGGGTATGCTCCTCCTCCGCCTGGTGGTGCCGCCAGTGGAGACACAGACAAGGGGAGAGTCATGTATTTATTCCTCTATTCATTTATTTATCTATCTATTTATTCATTTATTATTTTTATTCATTCATTCATTCATTTGTGTATTCATTTATTCATTTATTTATTCATTCACTAATTTATTCATGTATTCATTTATTTATTTATTTATTCGTTTATGTACGTTTGGTTTCTTTCATTTATTGATTTATTTCATTTCATTACATTATTTTGTTTATTTTGTTTTGTCTGTTTGGAGCTTGGAATTTGTTTGTTTGTTTGTTTGTTGTTGTTCTTCTTTTTTGTGGGGGGGGGGGCGTCTTTATTAAGACTTCATATACGTGCCGAAGAATAGAGATATTACAAGAGAGTAACAGACACAAAAGAGAAGGAAGAGAGACAAGGTTTAATTTATAAGGGAAAAGGAGCAAGCCACACCAGAGCATCAGCCAACCATGAACTTAACAAAGGGAGAAAGTGATTTGTTTCGTACCGTTATGGTTTTGAGAGCATTTGAAACCCATGTTGACACATACAATTCATTACTTTTTTAAAATGTAGGTGTTTTGAGCCCCCGTCGAAAAAAAAAATCATTATTTAGGAAGCGGGCTTCGACCGTGCCTCTTAGTGCCAGCACAGGCTGAGAGCAGGAAGACCGAGATATTCAATTTTTTTTTAAAATCTCCCCACACGGGGATCGCACTCAGGTCCTTTGCGTGCGCGGGCGGCGGGCCCCCAACTGCTACACCACAGACACCAGTCGGCTCATTACAGAGTCGTGTGATCAGAAAATTACAACGCAATACCAATACGACGAGATTTAATTCAACGTTTTTACTTCTGAAAAGGTTAATACCCCACTGGTCGCCCGTTTGTCTTCTTAGAATTATGCTGTCAGCCAATGGATATATACATGCACTAATAAATAAA